CTCTTTTAAAATTACTTATCAAGAAACAAACAGAAATTTGAGTAATTTAAGAGGACAGTGATTCAATGCGACTAAAAAAATGAAAATTTGAAAGTAGTAAGGAAATTTGTGAAACGTGAAAGATTAAATGTAGTGAAGCGATTGTATAGGAGGATGATTGCTTGATGCATTCCGTTGGCTTGACCATAAGTTTAAGATGGTATGAAGCAAGAGAAAGTTTCTTTAGACTCTGAAAATTGCAGTGTAAATCGATGCTGAAAAAAATTGTTTTGAGCTTGAAGATAATTTTCAGTAACAGAATTCTTGATTTCGATGAAAAGTTCTCGTGACAATTTGAAGAAGATTACAAATGTTTATTGTAAAATTATTGTGATGATTCAGGCAGGCCGCATTCTCGACATATCACACGCGATATGCTGAAGCAAGAACTGAATGAAACGATCATTTCAACTGCAGCAAAGTCAACTCAACAACAAGTAGCAACAATCAACAATGACCCTTTGGCACAGCAAGATCTTCCTGCACCGTCCCATCAACCACCTCTCACTGCAACCGTTCCATCTGACGAATCAGCTCCTCCAGAAATACGAAAGGTCTCCAGATTTACCGTCCAACGAATCCAGAATGCCCTGCAACCACCAATAAACCCATCAACAGCCCAACAATCGCCAGTGTTCACACCACCAGCAACCCAAACGAATCAAAACCAATCGTCAACACCATCAACCAACGAATCAGCGAGACCGCCAGCACAACGTCGTTCTCGGTTCACGGTCAATAAAGTACCTGAAAGTGCTCTGCAGTCGCAAAGCGCACCCCCCACAGCAAATAATCCACCCACTACTGGACTGGAATCGAATCAACCAGCACAACCGCACGCACCCTTAGAATTCAGTCAACAGATCGCATCTCAACAACCGAATGCTGCTCTTCAATTCAGTGCATCACCACTATTCAGGTTCAGTGATATCGTTTCATACTAAAACCTTCTCATCGACTACTTCTCCCCAACGAACACATTCTAGCTTGTTGAAGATTCAGCAACTGTTCATCACGTGCATCTATATGCATATAGATATAGCTATTTGATCATCTTTCCAGTTCATCAATAGTTTGTTTGATCGACCAAAAAATACTGTATATAATTGTTTTGGAAGTGTGACCAGTGAACGGACTACATAACCGTTTTTGATAAAAAGAAGACGCAACTTTTGTCTGACTTGATCTTGAATTTTCACTTCTCGAAGGTACTCCGAGAAATGCATTCGGCGGAAAATGGCTGTTGTTCGATCCTTTTTGTCTTCTGCTGTTTCGTTTTCAATTCAAAAAGTTGAACATTAATCGTAAGTGCATTTTTTGGTGAAATTAAAGGGATTTTAAGATTACCAACGCAAAATATGACGCCAACTTTATCAGTCGTTGTTGAAGAGCCTGAAAATGAGGATGCCGAGCAAGTGCAACCGGAAAGTGCACTCCGCGAAACAAATAAACGACCACTGCTTTCAACACCAGCGACACCAATGATACCCGTCGGCGGCGGTAAAGACGATAGTAATCGAGCAAATTCCTTCCTAACACAATCATCGGTTGATAAGAACGTGTCACCGTGGACAACCTTGCTGGTGTCGCCCGGTGAGGCGTTACTCAGTTTTGTGGTCGAACATCCAACTGATCACCGCACAGTCCCTTCACCTCAAGACACAACACCACAACTGCACAACGCGCCACAACACAACCAACATCGAGTGACAACAAAATTCAATGAACTCTATGAAAAAGTTATCGATGAATGCAATCAAACCGAAGCAATTTTCGAAAGGTTCTCGAAACATTCACTTGAACGGCACTTTTTTAATTGAAGTCGTTTCCTTCCTCTTATTCGATGTGCCTCTGATATTCTGCATTACCGAATTCTATATTCTTCTATATCGAGCTGTTTTTTTTTCACCTCTTTCCTACTTTCTTGTTCAACAGATTTTCTGGTTTCTCAGCGGTCATCACTGTGACTTTTTTGTTCTCTTTGAGACCAGTGTAGTAGCTTTGCACCATATCTTAACCTGCAGCACCTACGACCGATCAATCTTACTTTGCTTTGAACATATTCTTCATGGAATTCTATACAATATAAATTCATGATTTCCCAATTTTAAAAAATTAGTACAAATTCGCTTCTCAAGATAAAGTTATTTATATCCGATGATCATCGAGCAATGAAATGAAAACGATGGAAGAAAACAAATTATGAAGTGAAGAACTCAACTGTTTGCATGGAGTCCGTAATAACTCGGCGATGCTCTTCCTTTGCATTATTTTAATATTAGAGTATTACGGTTTATCGACTAATTTGTGCGTGAGACAGTTCAGAATTCATATCTCGTTGACTTTTTTTTTNAAAAAAAAAATCAAAGCTGTCATTTATTGCTACATCCCGTTATATTCCGTCACATTTTATTCACGTGTATTCAATTCGCTATTCTGAATCCGACCACTTCCAGCCCAGTTCTGCTCAGAGAACTTGAAAGAAAGAACTTGAATGCGCTCTTCCGATCATCATTGCTACGAGATACACACAAACTGAACATTTTCTGCATATAGGCCTTACCCCACCGCTCATATAGCCACCGTTGTCAGGTGTAATTTATTATCAGTATTATATACACAACTAATTCTGCTTCAATAAAAATGCGAACTTTGTGATCTGCGTATTTAACGCTAATATTATCAATATCAGCCATTCTATCATGTCGCCTTAAGCAGTGATGTTCTTCTCGCAACACAACTCAAACGAATAAAACATGTTTCTGAGCATTTTAATCATAAATAGAATAAAATCATCCCGTGAGAACCAAAAGCAAAGAACGCGAAGAATAAAACAAACGAAAACAATATCACAGAAGAAAACAAATCATGAAGGCGTTGTAAAATTAAATTAAATTGACAATTTGTATTTAAGGTGTATTCTTCACCAAACATCTTCAAATGCAACTGTTCCCATTAAAAATAATACTGTTGAACCAGTTAGGATGATGATCAATTGTAACCTCTTTCACGAATGAACGAAATTATCAGCTGCTCGAATAGAAAAATCTCATTCAAAATATGAAAAGATGGACAAATCTAGACGTATTCATTATCAATAATTCGACTCGAAAGTATTCTTTTCACAGTTAGCATAACGCAACAAGTGAGATGTTCGTTCATAAGGTGCAACTAACATCATAAAAGTTCGCAGGCTTGCCTCATTATTGGTAAAAATATGCATTCATTCAACATTCACAATTTACATATTTTTCCAGAAAAGTGGGGAACAACAAGCTTCATATGTAAAAAGCCTCAATTATATCCATTACTCTCAAATTCAATGGATATCCAAAAGCAGAGAAATATAATAATAAAGACCCATCAAAGGATGTCACATCGTGCATTTCACATCATCATTAAAAGCTTCTTATCTCCTAAACTTCTCCGAGAAATGCTGGATGGAAATTCGAACACTGACCGCCTCAGCAATACTAAAACGGAATCGTTGTTGCGAAGAATTCGATTTCAGACGATAATTGATGCAGATGATATAGAGTTAGTTGCGGTTAACGCTGCATTATGAGGACTGCAAGGAAATACCTGAAAATGAAATGGTATTGAATCGTTTAAAGAAGAAGTAATTGGAAAATGCACCGAAGAAATATTGAATATTGCAGTCTTCAACTCATCTGAAATATTGAAATATCGTCGTCTTCCTTGAAAATGAGTCACAATCTTCAGGAATACATGAACGCACAAATTCAGTCAGAAATAAAAGTCAATGATGAGTTGATGAATGCAATTCAGAATTTGCATTAACTGAACAAACATTTCATGAAACTTCTGGATGATACAGTTCAATCACGGACAAAAATATACTGCAAATGATAACACAATGATTCAAGTTAATATGGCATTCCGAAGGAAAAAAAAAACAGCTGAAATTCAACGACCTTGATATCCAAATTCCAAACCATTGTTTCAATGTTCAGATCAGTTGGTGCTTCTGAGAAGCCTTCTTTCAATTCGAAAGCAACCTCGTCACTTGTTACAAATTCAAAATGAAGACGCCATTTCACATGTACTGAAACGAATTTCAAATCAGTCCAAAAACCAGTTGAATGCTAATGGAAGTATGCGAAGAAGTGTAAAATTTTAACTAATTAATCAAACGACTTTTGAATGACTCCTCAGTTTGGCTTTCGCACGACAAAAGGCTTAAGAAATTCGGGTTTTTTTTCCGGATTATGCGCACGGCCTAGAGCATTTTACAGCATCGGTACATAGTGAATCATGAGTACATGATGAAATTAATAAAGCCGGGCATGAGAGGCCCGCTTTGTCTTCAATGCCATGAAAGAATTTCAGTCGTACGACGGTTAGAACGCAAAATCTGCATTCATCACAAAATTATCGTCTGTATTACAAATGCAACGATGCAATCCGTAACATGAGCATTACTCACGAAAAGTTTCTTCAATCACTACTAACATAATGACATTAATTCGCGCAAAAGTCACGAAATTAAATCCGACTGATTAAAATTATCAAATGTACTCCTGGATATTTCGATGTTGTTTACTGCATAAATAAAAAACGACAATAAATAATCAACTTCTTCAAACTTATAAACATCAACATAAACGAACTTCTTCAACAAACCAGAAACAAAACCAAACATATAAATCTTCTAGATGACAGTAAATAGATGAACAATCGAAAGCACCTACCGGTATCCGTATAAAACGTTGGCGTTGCTGATAATGGAATATGCAATTTGACGAAAGCATCCTTCCAAAACGCACATACCGCATGATCAACCATATGCGTTGTTACAAATGTACGCGCATCCGGATTGTCGACCAGTGTTTCCACTGACTGCACACTCACTGTATACTTAAAATTGGATGATCACATTGGACGATGCTGACGTCTATTTCTGAGGTATTTCTTGATGGCAATCGACTAATCACACAGAGGACTTCGCCCGAATTTAAATGCTCAACAAACGAAATAGCATTACTGGATGATACTGAGAGTCTACTTGCGAGATAAGTGCAAAATATCAATAGAATTTTCACTGACCTGGAAGCATGGAACTGGGCAGCCATCAAAAACAAATTTGCCAACAATATCCTCACCAAGTTTAAATGCTTTCTTATAAAGAGTAAAATTGGCAAGACGGCCCCGTGTGTTCGTCATGCTATAACTGTAACTCCTTTGTGGTGCTGTTAAGCAATCAGTTGCTTCGGTGGCCATATCGATCACGGACGGACTGAATTGGGACACTCATTTTATAACGTTCATCGGTAATAGTTGTACGCTACATCCATCAATTTGAACGATCTATTCGAATGTTCATTCATTAATTACAATTTTTCAGCACTGAAGGACTCGAACCATTAATGCACAGCTCGGAGCTTATTTAAAAAACTCAGCAGTAGTAGTGAATTCGATGACATTTACATTCGAAAAATCTCGCCTCTTATTTGATTCTTTTGCTTTTTCCACAGCTGAAGGATACGAATAGTCATAAAGACGTCACCAGTGAAATATCTCTATTCCATTTTATATTCAAATGAAGAAATATCAGTGGGTAGATAAACCAGCCCATTGTCACAATATAAAACGCTACCATTGATATCTGGGATGATTAGATTCCAGGGAAAAGTTATCAATGAAAAGGAAAATTAAATTCACTGAGATTTGACGATAACAGAGGTGAAAACTTGCCCTATCGTTTGATTTGCAAGGAACGGATTTGTGAGCGTAGTTGATGGACTTGGCAAAGGAAGACAAAATTCAGCTTGTAGCACGCGCAGTGGTATATGAATGAGTTTGATAGGTGACTTCACGTTCTGCACACCAACCGTTAACTTATAAACATACCTCACCAAGTAACCCCTCCAAATGCAATCTCATTAATAACAGGTTACGGTCAAATTTTGAATGGAATATTCAAAGTTCAGAATGTTTTGCCCAAATTCGTCAACAAAATTTTCATCCACAGCTAATTTTTCCACCAAACCTGTATTTAAGCAGAAACTGACCGATTATGTTCGGAGAATATCTGATTGTAGGTGAACAAAAGCAAAAAAACGATGACATTAAAAACTGCAGATTAATTAGATACGTAATCGAAAACTAACTTGAAGGAAGGCGGAATACCATCAAAAGGGAGTTGTTGTACGCACTCAAATTCGCGTCTTTCACCAGCCTTCAGAATCAATTCACAAAACAAAACGACCGGTCGACACGAGAATACGGTGTTCACTGAACGCGATATGGATGTCGTTTGGTTGCGGTTCGTGTCGCCGACTGAATTCTTCTTTTTCAGTGTCTCATCTCCACAACTCATGATTCGTTCGCACTGCACATGCACACTGCCCCAAGCCAGCGGCTCCTCTTCGGTACGTCCGATGTTTTTCACGAATACCTTTCAGGAATTTCATGATTCATTCAAAAATTCATAATTATGCATATCTTCTCATCAGACAGTAGTAGTGATCTCGAATGTAAACTTCAAAATTAACTTCTAATAGCAGCTCATCGGTTTGTTAGGCGAACATGAGAATTTTGCAAAAACCGATCAACTCGCATCAAATTACAGATTTCTTGCTGCACTCTACTAACTGCGAATCCTTTCGGGGTATGAACTGAACGAGAAGATCTTCAACCAATAGGGAAGCATGAATTTTGAAATGAACAACGGATGGAACCTTGCAACTAATCGCCTCACCGGCAAGATACACGGCTGAGTCGCGATCCAATTGTGCGGTCACTTGAATTGGCATCTTCTTTGCACTTCCTGAAATCGGAAGAATACGAATCTAACTTGATAATGAATCACGAAAAAATATTGTTGACTTAGCAGCCTTAGTCAAACGCGCTTTTAATATTATACAAAGGAGCAAATAAATGTCATTCAATCGTTTTTTTCTTCCAATTCCTTCCCCTGAAATAAAACTGAAAANGACTTTATCAAATCCCCCTATCTCAATGTCCCTCATAATGTCGACTTGACTGCTAGAACGAAGCTAATTACAAAATGATGAAATGACCAATAGGAGAGGTTAACAACAACCGACGAGATGCAAATAAGAAGTGTGTGACGAGGATAGATGATAAATTTTACTGTTATATTATATAGGTGATATATGAATTGCTTTATTGTACGATCATAATTAACAGTTATGTCGTTTTGCGTACATTAACAACGTAAATGCACACAAACAAGAGACCAGCCAAACCGAACGAACCAACTCTTTGTAACAATCGAATAATATTAGTTATATTATTAAGCATAGTCATGATAGTAATAATATCGAATGTGGTCTGATCATATGGTGTATGATGGTTTAAGTAACGGATGAACAAAAAACATATTGCTACATGATGAGTATGAAGAGAGCATATTACGAGGATATAATAAAAATTTTAATCCGGTTATAAAATGCTCTACAACAAACCTCATATAAATTCACATCAAACGAGACAACCAACATATCATTTTATCATAATAATCACTCAAGATAATAGATAAAAGTAAATATTTGCATGTGCATTGAATAATCATAACATGTGCAATGTTAACTAATGAACTGCTATTCAGAAATATTAAATCAACAATACCTCACTTTTGACTGCATTGCAATTAGATTACCGTTTCAATCGTTCATTTACTCTTTCAATACACCACACCACAATGACGATTAAACGGCATTCTTACATTCAATTTATAAACATAATAAAGTTTTCGAGTTATTATTGCCATCCATCAGACTGCATTCATCAACTATATTATTTCAAAAATATTCACAAAAACGATTCGCTGCGTAGAATTTGTAATGTAAAAATGCCCGATACCAAAATAGTTAATGTGAAGAAACAAATAATAATAAATAGAGTAATTTCTATCGAAAGTGCACTCTAAGGAGTAGATCAACAATGTTCCCCGATTATAGTGTAATTATAATTTGAATAAATATAAAGAAAATAATATTTCAACAAATCGCACATTTCAGAGTGTTAAAAAGAAAAAGACCACAAACTAGGCACAACGAATGTATTACATTTGTTATTTAGGAATAGAAAAGAAAAGAAGAAAATGGTAATGAATAAATAAATGAAACAAATGAAGATAAACGGAGAGCTAGTCGTTATGACAAAGTTGTAGAGCGCAGTGTGGTGAATAGACTGCTAATAGACTAATAATATGCAAAATATTATAATATAATATTCAACAAAGTTTATTATATCAGAAATATAGTCGTTTTTGAATAACACTAAAGATGAACTTCAATAATATTCGATATTATATTATATTTTATAGAAAGGATAACAACTGGTGAGGTATAACATAACATTCTCAACGAAACAGGCAGTAATTGCATGAACTCTCGGAAATACAGTGTGCAAAATATGCTAGACGACGGACTGCGTCCTCGTATGCATCTCCAGCTGTAAATCATAATTATTATCACCATCACCACTATCATTATCACTATCTCATTATCACTACTGCTAGAATCATCAATTCATTATCAAGACTAGACAAACTAATATAATCACTTCTATCATTTCTCATTCCTTCTAATGTCACCAATTTTCACTAAAAAAGTACAGTAATTCATTAAATATTAAAAAACAAAACCACTGAACAATTCATTCAACTGGACAACACATCTTTATTTGCAAGATGTCGAATCGCTTAAAAATAATAACTAAACAAGTAACAAACTCACTTGTTGGAACCTCATGAAAAGGAATAGCCGCTTGAGTGGGCGGTAAAGAAGTAGGAAAAACAACTTGTGGCATATCCAAAGAGTTTGAGGAACCGAAACGTGACGAAGGTGACGGCGGGTCAGGTGCATCGTGACCATTCGAGTTCAAATACGGTAAAGGTGAAGCCGATCCACCGAACCCTCCTCCGGGCGTTCCGGAACGCGACCCAGAACTAGAGCGTGATCCAACACTATTCGATATGACTGAACCGGATAAAGATAACGATAACGACGAGTGCACACCACCCGGTGACGGGGGTGCGATTGGGGCTGGTAGAGGTGCCGCCTGCAACCAAATTGTCGTTTAAATATCTCATTAGCACCTATTTAAATGACGTTCTGATGAACAACCCAATTTCTTTAGAATCAAATAATCAACTCAATAACTAGATGATAGATACTGCATATACTTTTGCAGTGCATATGCACACTATGTTGATATTAAAAAAACTTCATTTAACTGACTGCTGCGTTCATATGGTACAGCAACACTCTTTACAAACTTTCAGCGTGAAATACGTGAGCAGCAAAAATGTACCATCAAATGAACGGACGACATGAGAATTCTGAGGATAGATGAAAACATTCACTAAATGACTGCTAGGCGACAGTATGTTCGCAACATACAATGTACTGTCATTTGATTGAATAAAAGGCAAATAGTTTCAGTCTAACAGTGAATCTCGAGTATGAAGCAAAAGATCTTGAAAACTTCAGTACCACATTACGGAATTTAAACATTTTTAGCTATCAAGAATTACGTTAAAGTGAATTAGTATAAGAACAAAACAATGAAACTGAAAAAAACGAAACGAAGTTAAAGGCACCTGAGATAGTTGTTGCTTTCTTGAGGAAATTAATTGTTGCTGTTGCGATTTAGTACCATTATTACTATTAATACTATTATTATTCAAACAAACATTATTATTAGAGGTTACAGTCGGTTGCAATGGCTTTTTCGGTGTTAATCCAATAACAGTTCTGAAATTACTATCGAGATTATACGTTAAGTATCGAGTACTAGACATTTACATTCTAACGTCATACGTCCATGAATTACGAAATCTTATTAAATTCGGCAATTTATCAGGGCACACAAATCTATAATAAAAGAAACGGCCAAATATAATCGAAACTGTTCAACAATCCTATCGAGAACCAAGCTAACGCCTTCGCATTATCATTTCTCTTCAAAGTGACTGCTTCCTTATGAACAACACTTGTTTTTCATCGAATGAATAGCATACTTAATCGAAAAACAACGAGAGGAAATCACTAAAGAAGAGAATATCTGAAGTTTCTCGAGTGAAAAACAAAGTAATAATAATATTTCACTTAAGAATTTCAAAAATAAAAAACTACCTATTTCCTGTAACCGCATCAATAGATTTCGGTTGTCGACCAGTTAAAATATCAATACTCGCATTTTTATGACACACTGCAATAGCCCTCCACTGAACTTGATTCTGTTTTTGTTCAGTGGCACGATATCTAATTTGCATGCCAGGTTTGAACACTGTTCGAATATCCTAAAACTATCATTCAATCACTTACTTCATTCAACAAATTATTTTTGCCACTTCAACCGCCTCTGTTCTCATAAATTTATTGATGAAAAGCACCTTTTCGCACTTGAAAATGTCACAAACAAACTTTATAATGAACGCTAATAATGTTTCTGAGCTCCAACATCCTCATAGAATGAGAGAAATGAAATGAAACTGAGAATAGCATAAGCAATGAATGAATGCAGTAACCTTAGTGTCAGGCCGAACTACACTAGCCGTAAAATAAACTGTGGATCCATTATTTGCCTGAAACGATCAAGATGAACGAGCCATCAATGACACGTACACACCTCCACCATCAAACTTCATGTTCATGTAACATCGCCTCTCAACCAATTCTACTTCATACACAGTCAAACCGCATATTATGAACGTTCCACCAAACAACAACTACATCCAAAATGTTTGATTTGTAAACGTCCAAATGAAAACATGCCCTATTAGGGCTGCTTTATATCGATCAAGAGTGAATTAAAATCATATTTTCAAGAAACTTTCCTCTCGAAAGATAACTGAGAAGAAACGATTGTTCTTTCATATAAAGAGATTTCTATTTTCTCGAAAAATTAACAGAACACCGAAAAAACGTACCGTAATAAATCCATATTGTCCCTTCGCTTCATCAACCTTCATTAAAGTACCGATACCATCGACTATTTTACCTTTTGACTCGAACTGAACACTATTTGGTAAGGCCTTATATCTAACACCAAAAGTGACATGAGTACCTTCCTGCAATCACATTCATTGTTGATTATGGCACCGACTACTTTTATCAAATTAGAAATGTGAAATAGAAGGGATGAAGAATCATTTGGTCTACCCAATAGATAGGAATCGCTCATGAACATTTCGATTCACATATAATCCGTTTCTTGAATTCAGTTATCATCTTCGATGTTTACTCTTTGATTTTATCAAGCAAAAGAATAAGACTTTCACACTATCGAAGACTATTATATTTTTACCTTTTCTGGATGGACAAGTCTGATATCTGACTTTCCACTACATTAAGGTCGATGCGATAAACGGATGAATAAACGATTTTATCAAATAAACGAATGAGAATCAAAGTAACGCTAAAAATAATAAAATAAAACATCATACCGGTTCATGTGCTTTTGCTTTGAAAGTAACCCAATCTTGAATATCAAAATTTTTAGAAATCCAAGAATCCCTATACGCAACAATTTTACCATCGAGACCACCTTTAGAAAGATGTAAGAATTCAGGACAAGAATAAACGACACGTGCCCTTCCAGTTATTATACCAGTAACACTCATTATGAATAGCTTTAAATAAATCAACTGAAATCCTTCAATTCATCAATAAAATCGAGAAACGTGTTTATATCACGTTTGGCAACGAGTACGCATCAAATAGAACTAACTATAGGACTGATATGATAACTTGGTACTGAACAAAATAGAATTTAACAACGACACGTTTCGACGAGTTGGGTGATGTGAGCTGAACGAGCACGGAAACGTTCAGTGAATACTATAGTTACGGATGTTATTGTAGGAGGATAACACCCGCAATAGTGGTAATTACATTAAAATACTACTATCATCAATAATCATAACAATTAAATAAATGGCCCAAAAAACATAAGTGGTAATAAAAGTCAATTCTTTTGCACTCAGAATGATCTTTTTTTCGTTTTAAAAAACTAAGCCTAAAAATGAAGTAAAGCAAAGAACGAAATGTTTGCGAAAACCTTATTTCAGCTTAGCGCCTCACTCACAAGTCGGCATTATCTAACCACTTAACAACGACTACCATTGACGATGTACGAAAATATCAAAGTCTCATTATTTTCCCTTCCATAACTCAAATGTTTAAACAACAATCCGCACAATAAACTGACCACATACAAGACCGCAGATCGAACTGTTAGTTTTACGAATGAGTTAAACAATTCTATTAGAATAACTTTCAAAATTTCACTATATTCCTCGACTAAAATACGTGTGCGCTAGACAATTATTCAAGAAAATATTACGAAAAAAATTTGCACTTTCACTGAAGGGAAATTCCCGATTGAATTATCCATGGAGAGATTTTTTTTCATACATACAAAAAATATCGGAACTTTTGCTATTGTTCATTCGAGAGCTGTCAACTGAAAAAAAAAAACACAGAGAAGCGTTTCATTGTTTGTTCTCCGGTCTGCTAGCATTCATTAGTTGTGTTGTTGCATATCAGCAATTCCCATTTCAAAACAGCTGATCGCGAGCTGAGTGAATGCTCGACTAGGCTTACTAGTAAGTACTTGCTGCTAACTGATGTTCCACTATCAACGTGAAACAATCCTTAGGGAATACCCAAATTCAGAACGATACAACTGATCAGTTCAGGTTACAAGCATAGAACTGTAGTGTAAACGAAAATTCTCAAACTATAATTATGCTCGTTCATTGAGAAAGACTTTGCAAATCACACTACTGCATGTACCAAGGCAAAACAAGCCTTGGGACGACTTCCATTTAATGAAAAGAAAAACGAAACAAAGATGAAATCAACAATACAGAACCGCTCGAATGGTACCAACACATAGAATCAAACACCGACGATAAATAATTGAAATGGTGGTATGACGACCACTTATTTGAACAATTAACACCACTTGGAACATCATTTATTAATTCCCTTTGAGCAGTTTAGTTCGTTTAATGAATGTCAACTTTATTATTTTATTACCATTACATAGAACTACATCGAATTCGTATTTACAAAGCAGCACAGCCTACTCAAGCGTTTACCGCTGATTTCTCATTCACCTTCTTCTTGGCGTTAACGATATTCGACAGGTAGAACTCTCCGGCCTGGAAAATGTAATAATTAGCACAATACATGTTCACCACAATAGAATATCAGCTATGTATAAACAAGCAAGAAAATAACTGCGTGAATTGTTGAATGTTCAAACTCTCTTTTGATTCATTCTGCGCATTTCGCATTACAAAAAAAACGAACCAATGCACGCTATTGTTCCTTATTCATCTCGAAATTCGTGTTTTTTTAAAATGATGAACAAAACGTGAAATTAGACAATGAAAATTTTACTTACAATTTATTAGATGTTTCAAATTGGCCGCATACCACAGCAATATTAATAATTATGTGATGACACATTACGAATATGGTAAAACAAAAACCATTTGTTATTTTATGAAAGTTTTCACGGACTTAANGAAGATCTGACCAGAGGACCACTCGCCGTATAAAGAAAACCGAAACTATCGCCTTTTTCTTTCCATTCATCAAACTTAGCTGGTGTAATCCATTCTTTGACGAGTAAATGCCTCTTCGTTGGTTGCATATATTGACCGAACGTTAATGCCTCCACACCTGCAAACAAAGCACATATATACCTATACAAACACTTTCACTTTATATTAATTATTCAGCATTCGATTCTGTCTCAAACAACTTGAATCCTTATGGTATTTCTATTCGATAGCTGCGTTCATTCCGAATTTACAAAGTCAGTGATAAACAGATTTATGAAGATATCCAAACGAATGTCACTCATTTCCGCCTTTCAGTCCTTAGATTAATTTCAAAATGCGTCATTAATGTTTTCACTGATCGTAATACCACAAATTAAGAGTTCCACTCAAACAAACAGAGAGTAATTTGTTTTGAATACATAAAAATTAAGAGTTGCGTGAGAAACGCTTTTGTCTGCATTGACATGCTGTCGCATAAAAAACGATGAGAGATTTAAGCTGATGATCAAAACAAACACCTAACGAAGCAATCTGATCTTTTAACGTGCGAATCGCAAGTTTTTCACAAATGCTGCGTTAAACGCATTTTTATAGTTGTTTGCTGCACTTTCTCGTGATAAATGCAACTTTAATATTTCGAATCAGCACTGATAGATCGTACTCAAAACGCTCTACGGTACGCGTTAGATCGCTGCAAACAAACACACGCTTATTGGTTCTGACAGCTTAGGTTGTTGCGCTCTGAATCAAATTTTCATGAGCAGAATTCATAAATAGGCACATATACACCTAAACAAACAAAAACGGCAGTGTACGAAAGTTTTACATTCGAAACTGCGCTCGACTATTTTCTGCATTCATTCGCACATCATAGTTAATGTCCTCATAACATTTTATAAGGTTGTCGATAAAGCTGACTCATCCAACACATAAGGAATAACAATACACCTATAAACGCACACCTCTCTCCCATCCCCTAAACCTATTTGCTGCTGCTGCTGCCGCTGCTAAACAGTCATCACAATAGCAGTCGGTGTATCAGTACGAATGTACCTAGTTCACCCTCTCTTCTAAGGGGTAATGATTGCATTACACTATTACTGCCTCGTCAATAAAACCAAACCGCATGAATCAATAAAATTATTAATTGGAATAATTTTTGTTTGGTATTTCATGTATCAACTTTGAAATGCATTCTTATTAGAACAGAATAAACAAAGTGAAAAGGTGTTTATAACTGCACAACAAAAAACAAAGAAAAAGCAAGGAGAAAAATACGTAAACAAATGAAGAAAACTGATCAGATAACGTGTGAAATTCAGAATAAAATGATTCCAAAACAAACATATAATTATGTAGAGTAATGTTATTATATGACGAGATGATGAGGTAGAGCATAGCCGAGTTACGATAAATTTTTAGAATCCTAATTTGATGGTAATGTCAAATTGAGATCATTTAAGCCGTTAAGTACATCATTAATATCTTCAGAGGAGATGTAAGATCGAAGATTCTACCTGGGTTTCTTTCAGCATGTACACATAATAAGTATCAACAATATTTTGTGTACGTTTATTCGTATTTACATATACACATACATAAATATACGAAGGTGTACAAAGATTTAAATATTGAAGAGAAGATAAGAAGAGAAATAAAAATAAGATGGCGATTTGATTGTGTAAAGTTCAAATGAGAAGCTTTCAGCACAGAGGTAACGATGAAAAGCTGAAGAGTGCGTGCAGAGATTGAATGGCAACGTTACCATGGAGATATGACAGATATTTGAGAGAAGTCGCATAAAGGATAGATGAGAGACGCTTAGAATGCATTTCATTTATCATATTATATGAATGAGCGCTTTGGTAAGTTGTGCTGTTTGAATCATCTTTTAATATCTTATAGCTAAAGCTATTCTATTCATTTAACAAGTTTCGCCTTATTCTTCATATATAATATTTGCGAGGTGCGCACACATCCCCCTCTTGCCACTTCATAATAAAATATGTTGCTTCTTTACAATACAGGTAGTAGTAATTTAATTGACCATACACAAATAAGCACATGTGTATCTATCTTCACTACATCGAATAATTACTGAATATGTATTTCGAACCTGATATCATACTGCATATCTATTCATTTATTTCGATGCAAGAACTCCCCTTGTAACATTACAGCAATCATAAAATGCGGTACGTCCTCAAAAAAAAAATTCTCATTAGGCAAGAATTAGTCCACTTATCGAGCACTAAAACACCACACGTCAAACAGCAATGATACTTCAGTATTCTTTTGCTGATTAAACAACTTCCTTCACCCTATATCATATAATTCCTTGTCATTATCCATAAATGTGAAAGTGATCCTTCCTCTTTTCACGTTATGTGAAAAAAGGAAGGATCACTTTCACTTTTATGTATTATCATCATTAATGTAAATTGTTAAAAATGACGAGATAATGATAAAAGCAAAGATAAATAACGCACCAATCGATCGTAAATCTCTCATTGTCTCAATCACTTCGTCATCTCGCTCACCGAGACCTAACATTATCGATGTCTTCGTAACAACGTCTGGTCTTGTCTAAATTATCCATCAATCAATCATAACATTATTCCATTCGTACAACAACTCACTGAAGTAAACTTCAAGGCATGAACGCCATACCCTAGATATCTTCTGAATACCTACTTTGAAATTAAAAATTAATGTAGTATTCAATACGACTACCTTTACACAGAAACATGAATGAAGTAATCGCATGACAGATGAGATGGAATAAATTATAGTTGCATAAGCTATCCGAGACATCGCAATTTCTAAGAAATTGCAAGTAAATAATAAATCTTTGCTCCGAATTCCATGAATAAAGCGGTAACCAAATAATGAGTAACGCCAAACAAACGCACAAATATCCCATTATCAATAGTACTGTACAAAGCAAACAGATGAAGTTATCTACCTTTTTAGCGTGTTCCAATGCCTTCAAGGACTGTTCGTAAGTCGCTCTTGGATCCCGAACCCATGGTGTTAAACGTTTAACCGTTTCCATATTGTGTGCATAAACATCCAAACCCGATTGGACCACAGTTTCGACACTTTCCAACGAACCACCAAAATCTGGTACGAGACATTCAACCAGAATTTTTGGAGAGGCTTCTTTGACCCGTCGAACTGTTTCGGCGATATGCGATGCACCACCATCCGGTATGTCATCTCTTCAAATTACATTACAGTCATTGACTTTGTTTGAACCCTCTCACAGAAACGCTAATGACTATAACATTATTAAAAATTCTATGATTTCATTTAACGCCAATCTGAATTTCCCTGCCATTTGACGATCTCTAGTTTCAAATCGAAAGAAAGTGGCTTTAACAAAACGAACTGCACAAGTGATACGACATATTATAACCAAAATAAATTTTTGGCGATCATATGCAAAGTTCACGATAGATCAAATCAGACAACCAAAAACAAGAGAATGACCATGAATAAAAGTACGAAGCGAACAGCACTCTATCCGATTGCACAATACGATCAGCACATAAACATGTACACTGCTTATCGTATCGTATCGAATAGATTCCTTTATCAGTAAGCGCAAAACACTCTATATGAAAGGAAGGCATTGCAAATAATGTTTGAAAATAATCCTTTAATATTCTTTTTCTCTCATGACTAAGAAGTGAAAATGGTGACTGCTAACAGAGCGAACACAACGCTGGCAATTTTTTGACACTCCTTAGCAGTCAGACGGAGACACATTATCCTTAAGGGAAGTACAGGTGGATTAACGGTGCTGCACCAAATAAGCACTTCTCATAATAACAAAAACAACGATAACAATATCGTTCGGCCCAACCCTCACGAGAATGATATCAACAATCAACGGCTATTCATTCGTTAGCAAACAAACAACTCGAACCGAACAAAACAATCAAGAGTACCACTAATCGTTGCCGAATAAACGATTAGTTCCGCATGTAGAAGGTCTGATCCAAGTTCAATGCATATTTACATATAAAAATGAATAAAATTTGGATCGAAGCTAAATCGCTGTCTACCTGTCAACAGATGTAAAAACCACATACGAAACACCCCATTCAGCAATAGCTTCAGCCGTCTTTAGCGGTTCATCCGCATCGAGTGGAGGCGGGTTGCGTGCTGTTTTTACGGAGCAAAACCTTAAAATATTAATTCTTCAAATTGTTATCAAAATCTACTTCACGTAAAGAATAAGTCATCGATGCCATCATGATCACGTGTTCACTAAGAATTCTCTTCACCCTCTCCCCACTCCACCTAGAAAAAAAANAAAAAAAACCAGGAAAGCTGTCACTCTCAAATGAATTAAAGAATGCACCACCGAGACAGAAATGACGTCAACCGACTACGTTATTTGTTGCAGCATGCAAAATGAATAATGAACACATGCAGAGGTAAAAACACGAAATATTTTGATACTTTGCATCATTCCCAAAATATGAGGGATCCTATTTTCATATCTGGAACTGCTTTCTTTGGTCTCACTATTGGTCATCCATGCGTTTTACAATATCGATGGCATAACACGAACTTCCATTCAGCCGAAATTTTAAATGAACATTTCAATAAACATTGCAAATTTATGCAAAATTTATTTAATGCAAAAAAATTTATAAAACTAACAACCAAATTAAGAATGCGAAGAATTTTACGTAATAATCGAAGAAATGAAAATATCTAAAGAGTGATAACGCAATGATATGATAAGCGACCTGCATCCTCGAGTGCAAGTGTCCCCCATAAGCATAATAGTAGCCGTTGCAGGCGCATTGCGTGATCCTGCCCAGCATTCTCCAATGTTCGGACAACGAGCCTCTTCACAAACCTTTGTTATATATACCTCATTCAACAAACAACTCAATCATTTAAAAATAATTAATATTTCATCAACTCATTCATTTATATCCAAATTATCAGTAAATTTAACTAATTAGAAAAACTAATCACAGTGGAAGATCCATTCGTTAACGGCCAATCAATTCACTTAGTGATTAATATGACTGACTAGTGACTCGCATCTAGAATCAAACAAATCTTAATCCAACGTTCATCGACTAAATCCATATCGTTAACTGAACGTTCACGTCATTTTCTCGGTCAAATTTTCAAGCAATACATCCAAAAAATTTTTTTTGCTTCCATAAACTGCTAGAATAAACTGCTATCTAAACTTGATCCAATGAAATACCCCATTCAGAGTTAGGTCTGAGCGATACAATAAGCGTTACATGTGATGGACATACAGTGGAATCGAAAGTGCAGGGTTGTTATGAAAAAAAGTGCGTCGAAAGACTCATTTAGGAAAGATGGGCATTGAATTATTCTTTGAGCGTTACCATTATTAAATTATTTATTATCCAATGAATACGCACTAATTTCAAAAATTTACTCACTAATTTCTATTTTTTGCAACAATTTATTCCCACCGTGAAAAATCTCCGCTAAATCAAAGAACCTACTAAAGAGTGAGCCAATAAAAGACGAAAGATGGCAATGATAATGCATAACGATGCTCGATGTAGTTCACTTGTCCATTAATTTATTGCGCATTCAAAATAAAATAGACAACCGATCTGTACTCATTTCATATGGTGAGTAGCAATTTATTAGAGAGGTTCTTTAAAATTGATTACATATGCAAACAGAAGGAATGGACAATGTTATGAAGAAATAAAGAGGTGTTAAAGTGATACGAGGTGGACTTGATGATGGAGTGAAACCATCTGAGCAATTAATCATAAAATTATAACTAATTAATATTAAAATAAACCGTTGAAAGTTTTAGTCCCTTTATTTGTTTTTTCAGCTTAAAATAATTGCCATTTTCCACTGATGTAACATTTCGTTTCAGCCACGGTGGTAATCTGAGTCTCTTTCCACCAATTTCAAGCTTCAAACGACCCTCATATTTGGCCACTGCTTCTTTTGCATTTCCTTAATTCAATTTCGTCTCACTTCAATTTGTTTTTTGGAAATCATCACAAATAATGACTGAGAATTTTACTATAAGTTTTGTAAATTCGTTCGACAAACGAGCTTTGCACAGCAGAATACATGCTGTATTAAAGTCACATCTTTCGCATATACTCATTTCTTCATAAATGTAAACTGCTTTTCGTGGAAATAATTTCCACCTCAAGCATAAAGAAAAGGATGGAAACAACGAAAAAAATTACCTGACGAAACGAAATCTTGAAAAGATGGACCGTCAGGAATGGCAACTTTTCGAGTTCGAGTTGCATATGACGCGCTCGTTACCAGGCGTACTGGGATTGCTCTTGACGAATAGAACAACGTTAGCATTGTGCCCGAACGAAGTTAATAAACTGAAAACTACTGAAATGTCAGTCGTCGTAAACAATTAATTCACACAGCTCATTTATGAATGCACGAAAACGCAATTTAGCTGCAAGCAGCACAACTTAAAACTACGAATGTTCATTAAACGATATGCAGTTTATACTCAATTTTCAATCATTGACTAGAACTTATCATATGAATGACCGTACGGACACACTCTGTAAAAAGCATTATTCAACTGCCAAAAAAACTGTAAATATTCCATTAACACAACTACAAAATATCTTTCACATTTGCGGAATGCCCTCGATACATACTTAAAAGGCATCAGAAAACATCCTTTCAATCAAACTCCCCCAGAAATATCAACGATCGCAAATGAATTCTTAATACACATGTCTAGTTCACGTTTGTACTGCTGATGATTCTTAGCCACAGTGAACACATTGATTGCATTAAAGGTTTCAATAACTACGATTAACACAGAAAATCGCTGAATTCATAAATAATCCTCAGTGGTGACACAAGCTGTCACCATCTGTTACTACGCTTCTTTACTAATTTAAATTTTCAAAGGAATATAGAAAACGATAGAAGATAACAAAAATGTTGAATATGTATGAAAGGTAGCATAATTTTCAGAGGGAACATTCAAGTTGCTACGTGTATAGTTTAGAAAAGTTTTCAATTGTTGGTTACATCCGATGTATATTGAAATTGATACAGCTTTTTTCAAAAGAATCATCTCTCAATGCGAATCCAATTTAAAAAATCAACAATAACAACAGTGATAAGTCAACAAAAATTTCGACTCAAAAAACTTAAGTAAATAAATAAGTGCAATTAAAATGAATCTGATGCGTTTACATTGAAAATGTTCACCGACTCGTTCAAACGTAATTTTTTCTTTCTTCCAATAACAATGATGATGATTTTTGAACAGAAACTTGCTCTCTGCTCATACTTCTAAACGAGACTGATTCCAAAAAAAAGAGGACGATAATTACAACTATGTCAAATGCGACTTGTTTTTCGTGTGTGCTTTCACGCATATCTCAACTTATCTTAAGGATATCCTGATAAACGCTAAATATGTCACGATTATGGTAATTTAGCTTCATAACAGTGATCTGTAGCCAAATCAAACGAAAAAAAAGTGTGACTTTGGTCATATTAACATATCATTTAGATGATATAAAATAAGTAATTTCCTCTCTTCCCATTGAAGATGCTTGTTTGAAGCTAGGAAGTGTGCCTCTCCTTTTGAAGAGAATGGCCAGAAAGTAAGCGGAAACTGCGCCAACGACAGGTAACACGAAAAGATTGATGCTGAAATCTCAGCACAACCAACAGCAAGCGCAACAGTCAACAAACAATCAAATTCGCAGCTTCACAACATCCAAAAGCCACTTGTGAGCACATGTGAACGACTTCGAGCTTCAAACAGAAACAAAAAGCGTGAAAGAATGACTCTGGTCGTACATGCATCGTACAACAAAGAATCTGCTATTTAAGTGTCTTCACAACAAACCACCATTCGATACTAGCTGATATCCTGATGTATTTGGAACTGAACGAATAAATTAATGCACAGCAAGTGATCGACGCTTCCGAAAAATAACTTACACACACAGAGTATGATCGCAAAAAAACAACTACTGCTACTACATTTGAGAACGATTAGGAGACATTCGGTGAATCAAAGCAGAGTTGGAATAAAAAACACGGGTGATCCGCAACAGAGAGCTGCTCGCCCGCCTCACATCGGAGCAATCAGTAATCAGTTCTTTTCCGAGACTCACTCTAAACCTGAACCTAAGCCTGAGTCTATTTTTTTTCGTGGCAATGTACTCTCGCGAACCACAACAAAAATTCAACTTTCGTCATCGTTCGATGCTGTCATACAGCTAGCAAGAAGAAAATTTTTTTGACAATTAGCACAAATAAATCCCGCTCAAAGCACTCAACACCACATCACATCACTTTCGCGGTACCACCATTGCTTATCGCACGCGTACCACGGCTAATACCGCCCGCAACCGTCAAGCTGTCCATAATCGCAAAATATCTTATGGCATTGGCGAAGTGCCAATTCATAATATATCTCAATTCATCATAATAATTTCGTATTGTTCAGATTGATTTTTTAGTGTGAGTTTGTTGGGAAATAGATTGGCGGTTATTGGAATTGGTGCGGGATGGAGCGATTTTAATAGGATTATGTAAGGGTGGTGTGTGATCTGTGACGATACACTGAAGAATTCGCAGTTAATCAACGAAGTGACGATGGTACTAGCGAGTGGCCATCGATTGCACATCATCGCTTGAATGTTAGCTGAAAGTAACAGCTGAAAATATACATGAACAAATATTTGATTAGGTGGAAATCTGCAAAAACTGTTATTATCTGCACACTGTGAATATTGGATGATGTGAATATGTTGGTGTGATGATATCGGTATGGGCGAGATCATGGAAATAAATGCCTTCGAATCAGCATTGGTCGTGGGTTTCCTCTTCAAAGAAACGTACACTGAGGAATTATTGAGGAAAACTTGAGAAACAACATTATTGACTATAGAAGTCACGAGTAAATTATTGACTGCAGAAGTCACGAGTAGTAGAAGTAGTAACACATTGAAAATAGAAGAAGTCACGATAAACGCATTGAAAATAAGCACAAACTAAGAAGCACAGAGATTTTTTTCTTTGGACATTTCAGTGATAAGCAGTAAATTCGAAACGATTGGAAACTCGTGAAATCTGAAGCTGATTACTCCATGGTATACGCATAAGGTGATCAGCAAAAGTTGAAAGTTTGAAAGGATATGGGAGAATCGCGATGAATGAGAAGCGAATTGTTCTGTTATTGGAATGCCGCATAATGTTATCTGTGTTGGTATGTTAGAGTAGAATTGAAAACGAAATCAAATTCGATTCATTCCTCGTCATTTCATTCACTTCATGAAGTGATTATTGACGATGAGTAGTGTTTTGAAATTCGTTGGAAACAACAAACGGATAACAATGTGAAGTCAGTCTAAAAGGCTGAGAAGTCGAGTGGATTTAGAACATTCGGGGAAACAGCGAAGTGATCACTGAACTAAAAAGTTCAGTCACCCATCCAACAAAACTCAGAATATGAGTTACCATGTATGGTACTTAATAGAGCAACGGTGTCCGAGTGGTTAAGGAGTTGGACTTGAAATCCAATGGGCTATGCCCGCGTAGGTTCGAATCCTGCTCGTTGCGCAACATTTTATCAAAGAGCATTTTAATCGACACTAGAGTGATGAAAAGTTGAACAATTAGGATTGTTATCTCATTATTACCGCATTGAATGCGGCCACAATGAAGTTTCAGTCGAAATCCAATATGAACGGCTTTACTAGAGATATAGATTGCTCAGATTCGTTATTGCTAACTAGGACTATGACTTACAATTAGCAACGACTATTCGTTATAAAGCAATTCACTAAATTACTCATTGATTTCGTTGCGTTCGTTTGGAAATGTTCAGTTTATTTCCAGTGAACAACTAAAATTTCTATCGTTATATGGAACAGAAGAACAGCAACCTCATGAATTTTGATCACGTATGGCACCATACGTGATCACAGGCGACTCTCATGAATTTTCATGACAAACACGCAGAGAAAATGAAAATTGATCACGTTGACCCATCTATGACGTATGATAATGGCACTGTCATCTTATTATTAATCATTATCACTGACGTGAACATTATTGCTTTTGGTACAAATAGCAACTTCAAATTATAATAGCAACCATCGAATTCAATTTTGCTTCGGTGCACAATAAAAGGATCGTGAACGAATTCTCATTTTCGCATCATAATCATTCATGTAGTCTTTCACTGCATAAATTACGGTACGATATATGTATATGTCATTATTCCCGTGAATAATTCATAAATTGCCCTTATTATGCATCATTCTCTTTGAACTCAGTTTATGAGAAAGCAATTTTTTGACGAGTTTTTCCAATGCATAACTTGTGATATCAGGAATTCAAGGATCGGGTTTTCGAAATTTGGGATGATATGTATTCGGGAACTGCCATACGCCAGTGCGATCGGATGACCTATTGCTTTTTGCAGCTACCAAACGATCGATTCATCACTATCGAAGAGTTTTGTCGATAATAATGGTTAAGGAACGCACTGAATTCAATAACTGCTTTGTCACAAAATTCTTTGTCGATCACCGCTTACTGATGAATTTCTTTCAGAATCAATTAGAATTTTGTNAGTAAAGTTATTTGCCACTCCATGATCGCGTGAAATAACTCGATAAGAATCTGACAACACTATTCAGTCATCATATTTGCTGCCGTCTAAGGCTTGATCGATTAAAACGCAAATATGCATGAATGCACAGTAAAGTTGGCTGACGTTTAGCAGTTACGTTCATGAACAAAAGTGCTTGGTCAAATGGTGTGCGATTGGATGTGTTGCTGAAAGTGATACTTTGAATGAATAAGTCGCAATCATTGTATGCCTATAAGTGATATTATATAGCGTTCTCGAGCCATGTCAGCTCAAAATCAATCCAAGCCAAATGTTATCGATGAACAAAAAACTGCTCGAGAAACTCAGAAGAACGACTGGATATTAATTGATAAATATCGCCAACAACTCCGAAATGAGTTTATGGAAAATGCAAGGTTTGAGGTACTTATTTTGTTTATGTTCAAACAAATGTTCCATTCATCCAAATTAGATCACATAACTTTGTCGTATTACAGTCGTATGTTCCATTACAGTCCTTGCCTAAAAAAATTTGAGTTTAATGGAAAAAAATAACAACGATGATCCCAGTGTAGCAGTTTATTTGAATCAGTCGTACTAGTGTTGAACTTGAATCATTCAAGTTCGTCCGCGTTTACTCAGTAAATTTCCTAGCAAATGTTTTCAAAACAGCTCACAAAATGAACTTTCTGCGGGCATATTGTTGATTATTTTGCTGAAGCATATTGTTGATTTTGCTATTTCGAAAGGTTTCATTCTTATCGAAAAGTTTAGACGAGATCTGATGAGGAAGTGTGAAGCGGCTACAGTGATTGTGCGAGAACGTAACGAGCGTATAAGAATTATGCAAGAAGAAACAACAAGATTCGCTGAGTGTTTCAATGAATATATCGATAAAGTATGCATGTTGATTAATCAACTTTCATTTATGCATTAGTAATTGCTGATTAACGTAACACCATTTAAGGTAAACGATCACTTCGCATCTATTTCTCTTGCACACTCATATCCGTCAATTGATGTTCAACATCTACTCGAATCATTCAAACGTGAATTCAGGTTTCATCTATGACTGAATTCATTATCAATCATTCATTATAACAGTGATTAACCGTCAAAAAGTATTCTTCAGACATTTACCATTTTCGAAATATGACATCTTCATAGTCATCAAATCCTTTACTAATCACTCTTTGTTTTCGAAAGGAAAATCGCCTGTGACCATGAGCCCAACAGTATGACGAATATTTACAGCAGGGAAGTTAATGAAAAGCAAACAAAATGTGGCAGAGCGGATTGAAGAAAAAAGATTAATCGTAAGCTTCAAATAGCAGTGGAATAATTGCACTAATTGATCATTAATTGTACGAAGTAATAATGGGCAAAACGAGGAATTAAACGGATGGTTTTGATTGCATTGCGTTTCAGAAATAAATTTAATACATTCATAGAAGAATTTCATTTCGATAAAGTACACACTGACGATCTCATTCGTAACGCTTCGCATCAATTCGCTCTGGATACAACGAAACACTTCAAGCTGTTCGAGAATGACCATGAAATGGAACTTCTCAAGAGAATCACCGCAGAAGAAGATGAATTTGAAAAGGTATTGGGTTGAGATTCAATAAATTCCAGAATATTACTTATTGACTACATATGACTGTTGACTACAAAAACTAATCATATGGTGCAACACGATAAAGCATTTGCAATCAATAAATAGTGATCTGATGTATTCTTTTGCTCACAAATTAAAAAGTTAGGGTTTTCGACTTTTCTTATGCAACGAATGAGTCACGTTGTAAAATATTTAACGACTAAGCTCTATAAAGGCGGATCTAAAAAACTCTTTCATTAGAAAGGAATGCTGTGTAATGCTGATAATGATCTTAAGCTTTGTACTGTGTAACGCCGCTAACAGCGTTTCGAAATGGATACAATTTTAGGAATTGATAAAGCATAACGTGTCTATGACACTGATGGAAAGAGAAAGAGAAGAGCTGAAGGANAAATGTAAAGGACGGCAGTCATAATGAGAAGGAATGTCTCATAAATGAGATAAAAGTATTGCAAAACGAAATCGATGAAATTCGAAAACAAATTCAAAACTGCACTCAAACTGAGACCGACCAATGATTTGATAATAGTTATTTCGCATAAGTTATTATTTCCTTTACTGCATTCGTTTTTATTACATCAACATTTCCGTGTTATACGTGAATACTTATTTCATTTATTCATTCCGAACGGAAGCCTCGTTAAACATATCAGTTATACAAAAATTTTATTGCCATCTTTCACGATGACTCTAATCAAATCTTGCCGAACAATAATCTTAATTCAGTCATGCAATAAATAATATTGTTTAGATAAAAAGCTTTATTGCAATCAGACCAATGAAGACACTTCTTTCGAGAATGCAATGAGGCGAATTGCACCCGTACATTACAATTATAAAAATATATTTGAACAGAACTAACGAATACGTTAATATGGAATGCGACGAGCAAAAAAGCCCCAATCGAGACTATATCAGTAAGCAGATGCAAAGAAATTAATGCACGAGTAAACCAATTGAGCAAAATTCTCATCTAATTTGAAAATTGTCTTACAATTAATATGACGATTTCAAAACAGATTAAATCGGCATGATAAATGCGAAAATTGAACTAATGTAATATTTTGCACATATATTGCGTTCTTTTCGTATTATCAGCTGATGATGAATGAAGTCGTGCACTGCTATTGAACAAGGGTGGAGGNGGTGGAGGGGGAGGAGTACCAGCTTTTATAATGGTAATGTCATTAACATCTGGCGATTGCCGCGTAACAGTACCACTCCTGACGACACCTTTCTAAAAGAAAATACTCATCAAAACAACAAATTCAAAAGATAACACCAATTCAAAATACTGATAATAATTCCGGCTGTGAAGATCAAAAACATTTGCGCAACTCAACTTTCGGTTTTCAATACTAATTTAACTCTGACTTTTGCTCGCTTAAATTTACCACTTGGATATCCGCTATATCTCATTTCAGGCGTTTATCGAGACCTACTCGAATTGATTTCCAATGAACATTTCAAAGAGAACTGAGACGAATAGATTCTTTAAAAAATTATCATTAAAGTTATCGATTTAGTTAAAAGGTATCATAGATTTAAAAAGAAACACTACGAACACGATCTACTCCTCCATACTGTGGCTGTGATCCGCACAACAATCCAGTCAAATTATGGTTTTTCAACAGCATCGTATTTGCACCAACATTGAGAATGGGTTCACAACACTCATAGCCACATTTTTCGTAGAATCTTTGCTTATCCTCCGTTGATAAATAGCACTACAATGGAGTGAGTTTATAATCATCGCCAAGATTTTGCCGATGATGATTCGAATGATTTTAATGACATTTCAGTGCAAAATTCAGAACATAAGTGCTGTCAGTTCATAAAAAATGAATTTATACGAAAACTGTGCCATGATGAAAATGTTCAGCCAAAAGATACAAAAAACCGGATGTGTAAGAAAATGATGAACATAATGATTAACCTTATTGAAGCTGAACGATTTAGCAGCAGTCTCAAGCAACCGCATGATATGACGACCTAATCCTCGATTACGCATGCTTCTATCAACAATAACAGATTCAATCCAGCATCCTTGTTCTTCATTCGGTAATGTGCATAACCGTGCATGACCCATTAATATTCCTGTGTTTCGTTCAATTAGAACGAATGACATCGGAGGCGAATGATTCAAAGATTTCGATATACTGTGCTCTCGAGCCGCTACACTGCGTGGCCATTCCTAAAAATCATGTAACATTGCGTTCAGTGATAGTTGATTCATTGAACTCAACATTTATACGTATAACTAGCACACGATCACGAATATTTTGATCGCGATAATGCATCATGAAAGTAGTGGTAAGAATGAGCATATTCCGAAACAATTTTTGCGATAATTAAAATACCTGCGCTTGAACGATCCAAGCGAGTGTTCCGATGAAAACTAGATTTTTCTTTATTAAGAAGGTGTGTAACGTTTTACAGGACATACTTGATTGAGAAGCGAAATCACATCTGCACACAGATCTGTTCGTTCAACCAGTGGAATCAGCTTGAATTCACCACAATCCATCATCGAGTATTTCCATCAGAATATTCAAATCCCAAGTTTCACTTTCACATCTCACACCCAGCTCTCGACACTCGAAATCTTCAACATTTTCTGACTTGTTTATTGCTAAATCAATGCATAACCGAACAACTATACCCATGAATTCATCAAGAAAACATGTCAAGTGCTTCTCCCAAACCGTCTTCCTTGTTATAAACAAAGCGCTTACGATTCAATCTGCATCTGACGGGGTTGATAACAGAAGCCAAATTGCACTTTTAAAGCGACCTGGTCAGGTAGAGCACAGAGAAAAAGAGATCCAACAGGGCGAATTAATTCATCGATGAGGCACAGGAATTTGACGTATTTCAAGGCTACACCTGACCTTAATGTGTACATGAGGTGTCGTTGGGGAGAGAAATAAATTTTCCACGTTCAGACAAAAACTGGCTACAAGAATT